CTCGACTGATCCTCATCAACTAATCTGAATCTGAAATTGTCGTTCCACTCTACACCAACAATGTAGTTGATCATTCCATTGATCAGAGTGGACTTTCCTGATCCGCTCTCTCCAAAAAGCATTATTGTGCGATTTTGCCTCATACTTTTTTTATCAAAGTTATACCTCCGGCATCCATCGATGTCCATATCTTCTTCTTTGAGAGGCAGTTTGTAAACCAAGGGGGATTCAAAATGTATATTCTTGCTGATATCTTTGAGGAATTCAGCAAGACGTGCAAAGTCACGTTTTTTTGTGCAGACATTAACAGAGATGCTTTCTTTGCTTCTTCCAGCTGCACCACAATCACATCTGACCCTGACAACATATTCTGTCTCTGACTGAAGCTCTGAAATGATCGTCTTTTCAGCCTTCGACATCATTTGGTTCCATTGGAGATCTTCCTCTTTCATCCCGTTGTCTGTTTTGGCGTACTCCACGATGTAGCTCCGTATCTGGACATCTTGTCCAAGCTCAGCAGGGCGTTTCTCCCCACGCTCACTCTGGGGAAAAAAAAAAAAAAAAAATATCTCACTTGAGTTTTGGTTCAACTTGAGGTTTTCACGAGGCTGCAAGGTAACGGTTTTTAATGGAACCACTGCACTACTACCCTGGCTGGTCCAAACACCTAACTGAGGTCAATGCTCCTGCCATCTGAACACTCCTCTGTTGTTTAGGACTCCAGATCTTCTTCACCTGTTGACACTTCTTCTTAGCTTTCCTGATGCTGTCTGTTGTTTGCCATCACATCCTTCCACGGACACAGTACTCAACAGAGTAGGGTGAATGTTCTCGCCTCCAAATCTGGGTGGAGAAATCTGAGTGTCACACCTGTTTGACGGTTTAATGGTCGCTGACGTGTCACTGTTTTCCAGCGCCTTTGAAGGCGGCTCAAAGTTCTCACTTACAGAAAAGCCTTCTTTATAAAGGTAGATGCTTGAACCTTTCTGTTTCTCATTAGTTAAACCAACTATCAAGAACTTAATGTTCTTGTTCTCCTTGTTGGCCTCTGCAAAGTCACTGAAGAGCTTTGCTTTATCTCTCATTGCATCTGCTACTTTGTTTGGAGGCATACCATTGTTCCTTCTCTACATCATGAGTATGTGAATGTTGAGGGTCGTCTGGTTTGGTTGTTCCTTTTAAGCAGTCTGATAAAGCTGAGAGGAACGGTTCATCACTTCCCAGTGAGGTGAAAACAAAACACACTGAATGCTCTACACTGATGGTTTCCTCATGAAGACCATTCTGAGTTGAGACAATCTTGGTGTTTTTCATTATGTTGGTGAAAGACTTTAAAGTGTAAATTTCTCTCTCTTTACAGTCCATCCACTCGTTCAGGTCTTTGCTGTTGAAAGGAGAAGAATGTCTCTTCTTCAGGATCTCTGCGAGCACAGCCTCCTCTTCTCCTCCTCCTCGGATTGATGGAAGTTTCTTTGCCAAGGTTTGTTGGAATCCCAGCTTGAACTCAGAGCACATCTCTTTAAATTGTTTAAGTTTTTTGCCAATCTGTGGGAACTGCTGTGCAGTGGTGGTTTTCAGTGCATCATTACACCTCATTTCCAGCTCACTGAAATCCTCCAGGACACTCTGTGATTGCTGAACTAGTCCTATACTTATCTGACGGACGAGTTTCGCAGCAGAAGAATCTAAACTTGTCAGTGGCAACAGCCAGACCTTCATTGGTACAGCGTTTTCTCCGTTGGCTCCCAGCAACTGTGGCAGACTTTGGTAGATTTGTACTGCATCCTGAAAGGTTGTAGGAGGTTTCTGAATGGAAAAGTCTCCATAGAACCTGCAGGAGAATTTCTGAACGTTTGCTTTTTCCTTGTCTTCCATTTTCAGTGAACCTTCACCCTCTATTGCCAGGCAAGGAATCTTTTTGATCATCACCTTCAAGTTACCCTCAATGTCTTGATGATCTTCCTGTTCAGAAACCTCACGGTCAAAGACAAAGAAGGCTTGTGCCCCATAAAGAATAGCTGTGACTACATGTGTTGCTAATCCTTTATCAAAGACATACGGATGCTTCACATTGCCTCTTCCAAGATGATCCATTGACAGTTCCTGAAACTTTGTGGTAGCTTTGTATGTCAGTGTTACTCTGGCCTGATTTTTTGATGTCTTATGATCATTCAGGTATTTGGCTGATCCACCAACCTCTATGAGTCCACCCAAGAAACTTGCTTTCAGTGAAGCTTCAACATTTAGTGCTGAAGATTTGTCCTCAATTGATTCAGATGCAACTATCTCAAAGTCAGTGTTAGGTTTTGGACTTTCTCTTGTATCTTTGTTCAGGTCATTGCTGTCCCACAGTGTCATGCCTGCCAAAAAGAAGGTTGGGTTAAACTATCTTTTATGGTATGTTAGTAAGGCATGAAATAGTATAGCTTAAATAAACTTAAAGGAGTTGCCAAGAAAATTTAAAATCCTATTCCCATAGGTAAGAGATGGAAAACTTTTGTTGTGGTTTCAGTTGCATTTTGTAACATTTCATGTGAATTCTTACCAGGGACAAGTGAGTCTTGGCGGCAGTCGTACAGCATCCCTAGGCCGAATGGCCGGCCAAGCGCTGCCAACTCTATCGTTCTGCTGGATTCAGGATCCATCTCTTAGATAGGGAACCAAAGTATGATAGTTCACTCCTTTGATTCTGCTATCTAATCCATCATCTGTCACCTTGTATAGTTTCTGTAACAAAAAAAAGCTCCACTGAAGTCGAAAGTATAATAAAACCTTGGAACAAACCTCATACAAAGCTCCATCATGTAACTTTTTTACCTTAAAATAACAGCTTCACTATCATTTTGAGGCTACACTGAGTTGTAATGTGGTGACTGGGCCAGATAACAGTTGGGTCTCTGTAAATAATGTTATAAGGAGTACGGTCTAGACCTGCTGTAGTTGAAAAGTGTCCTGAGATAACTTCTATTATGAATTGGCGCTATACAAATAAAATTGATTTGGATTTAATTCAATTTGCTGAATAAAACTAAAAAAAGACAACAGCAAGACATTTCTTTCAGTTCATTTGATTCAGTTGAATCAAAAAGAGTGAGAATCTGTCATATCTGTCGGAGGAAGACGGAGAAGTAAAAGGACCAGACTGCATAGTGGAGGGAGAGGAAGGCTAGCAAAGAGCTCGATCTACAAATGTGTGGGTGGAGCCAGAGCATGCAGACACGACATCTCAGAGTTTTCCACCAAGTTATCATTATATTCATTATACTTATTCATAGCCTGGGCGCTTAAAGCATGGGACAACATGGATACGGAGCTGGTGAAAAACTGTGCACCATTGACAGTATATATAATGGACAGAGCTTCCGGGTCGGAAAAGTGATGCCAATGCGGAAGTGTCTTAAAACCTGCATTCTACGTAAAGGCCATCAGGGGGAGCTCTATTGGCTGCAATAACACAGCAATCCCATCCACTTTAATAGAGAATGAGCCAACTTGACAATTCCTTTATGAGCTTAGTAAACAGTTTCCTGATTATTTTAGGGTCTCAGTCAATACATTATGATGATTATTTAGTAAATTAAGGTCCAATTTAAATTCAAAATAGACGATTGACAGGTCACGCTTAGTGAGTCTTTTTCAGCGCACAAAACTCAGATCAAACTGTCAATCTAGGCAGTTCTGATCAGATATGAAGCAATATTCTGTTACTGCGTTCTATTTCTTCTTTTTTTAAATCGTTTCAGAAACATGTTTTAGTGAACTGTTTAGCTGTAATACGAGATTGTGTGTGACCAGGCGAGCTGCCATCGTTCCCAGCTATGAACGAATCAAAATCGCGCAGCCAATGATTGTAGATGAACTCACAGTGTGTCACGTCTGCTGGCTTGCGCTGGCTTTGTTTTACTGTCATGGCGGCAGCCAAAACACAGGACTCGAGGCTTCAAAACGGTACTCCACAAACCAATGGATGATGTCA